TGGCATGTGGTGCTGGGGGATTGAACCGCAGTCCCTGTGCTTTGCCAAGCTTGTTCCAAGTAGGTGCTTTAGACCACTGAGCCATCTCACCAGCCCCTGAATAAAACTTTGTTTTTTTAGGACAGGGCCTTGCTGCATAGTTTCAGCTGGCCTTGAACTCACCATGTAGGCCAGCTGCCCTTCAACTTGGGGCAACTCTCCTGTTTCAGTCTCTGGAGTGCTGAGTTACAGGCACACCATGCTCAATAAACTCAAAATATTGCGCACTAGTGGTGGCAAGCCTATGGCATGGGGCCACACTGGGCATACAGAGCCCTCAGTCAGCACACCAGCTGACTTGCCCTAGGAGCTAAGAAGCAAATAATAGCACGTCGGACAGTATTGGCATTCTGTAATAAGTGCGTTTTGAGTTGCAGTTTGGGCATTTGGTTTCAAAAAGGATCACCATCACTATTCTACACCTGCTACACAAAAACTTCTTGCAGCTGGGCATGGTGGCAGACGCCTGTAATCCTGGCTTCTTGTGAAGGCTGAGGCAGAAGGCCAGCCTGGGCAATTTAAGTCTTTGTTTCAAAAACAAAACTGTTAAAAGCAGTGCTAAAGTGTTTGTCTAGCATGCCCAAAGCTTTAGTACAAACCCTAGTACTGGGGTGAGGGATGAGGGGACAGCACTTGGGACTGGGGTGTAGCTCAGTGGAAGAGCACTTGCCTAGCATGTACCAGGCCCTGGGTTCCATCCCTACTCTCCAAAGAAGTTCCATTCTTTCATACAAATCAAGAACCTCTTACTGGGTTTTTACATTTTTTTTTTCTTTGAGAGCAGGGTCTCACTATGTAGACCAGGCTGACTTCAAACTTGTAATCGACCTGCCTCAGCAGCCTAAGTGCTAGGATTATAGGCATATGCTACTATGCTCAGAACAGTAAGGTAAGTTTCTCTTCTTTTCTTTGATTTTTATTTATTTTTTAAAATTTTAATGTATTTTGTTGCTACACGATCTCACTATGCAGCTAGGACTCATAGTGATCCTCCTGTTTTCAGCCTCCCCAGTGCTGGGATTACAGGAGTGTCCCACCACGCCTAGACTCTGACCTGTTCAGCATGCCCTGGGGACAATGTTGGCACCGTGTGGTGCTGGGGATCAAATCCCAGTCCTGTGCTTGCCTAAGCTTGTCAAAAAAGGTTAAGTTAGTCTGTTGAACTATTTCTATTTCACTGGCCCTGTTTGTTTGTTTTTGACACAGGGTCTTGCTATGTAGTTCAAGTTAGCCTGGAACTCATGGCAATTCTCCTGCCTCAGGCTCCTTGAGAGCTGGGATTTCAGGTAAGAGCCACCATACCCCGCTGCTAAGTTTCTAACAAATGTAACTACAAACTGAAATCAACCGTCTCACATAAGGTACACATCTCCCAAAGACAGGGTAGATATGTACATACAGGAGAGCATAAAGTGAGCATAAATATGAGTGAAGACTGATCTAGGGCCCGCCAAATAGCTCAGTGGATTAAAGTGCCTATAAGCAGGCAAAAAAATAAATAAAAAAGCAGGCACAGGGGCCAGGAGTTCCATCCCTGGGCCTGCCAAGGTGGCCCCGCCCCCAGGGTATACTGAAGTGGCAATTGAGACGGTGTGGTGGCACACACCTGTAATCCCAGCTCTTGGGAGGCTGTAAACAGGCGGATCACTACGAGTCCATCTAGTAGTCAGACCCTGAACACCCTATAAACTCTTCCCTAAAATACAAAAAAAAAAAAAAAAAAAAAAAAAAAAAGACTGATCTAGATTAGTGAGTTCTAGGGCTGGGAAATGGCTCAGTAGAATAAACGCTTCCCTGGCAATCACAAGGGCCTGAGTTCAATCCCTGGTTCTGCCAAAAAAAAAAAAAAAAAAAGGTGAGTTCAAACATTTTTGAATGTTTCAGAATTTTTGAAATATAACTTAATATACATATATATGTATAAATATGTAGCTCTTCAACGTGTATGTTAATTATTAAATGTTTATTTTCCATCAAAAATATTGAAAAAAAGTTGAGTTTTTTCTTATATTCCAATGAAACAGCCTATGCATCCCAGGGGTGCATATTTTCAAAACTAATGGTCCACATGAACTTTAACATCTCTTCAACTCTGACACAATTTACAGACATGGATTTTCAGAATTTCAACAGGCAATCTACAACAGCAACTACAATTAATGTTTATTAAGAACC